CCTTAACTTAGCCAAATCCGGGTTAAAAGTTCTGTGTCTTTTTAAATAGGTTGTCTCATTAATGATAAACAACTCAAATACTAGTTTATGCAATTTATTTAATTTAATTTAATTATAAAAACGAAAATACAGTATTAATTTTAAAGAAAAAAGAATGACCAATCAAAATGAACATATAAGATTTGATAACTAACTTTCCATATTAATTTGTTATTAATTATTATACTTCACCTCTCATCTTTATATGATTTTATTTTGTGAAACAAATAAATCATCATATCATCTATATATACATTTTTGAAGTACATTTAGCAAATAAATCCTGAAGTTGAGAAGTATTTACAATAGAATGCCATTGTCATAAATGTTTATATATTAATTAATATTACAAAATATTTTTAAAAAAAAACTTTTAGAAACTGTGGCTTCCAAATATGGTAACAAATTGATTTTGTTTCTAAATTTTTCTAAAACATCTCTACCAAATTTAAACATTAATATATAATTCTTCTTTCACTTTTATATGATCTTATAGTAATTTATTTTGAATTTATATAAAATACGAATAATTAATAAAATAATAGATTTTTCTACATATAATGTGATTCAAATTTTTAAAAATGGACATATATTACTCAATCGATGAACAAAAAGTATGTGTACAATATCCCATCTATACTAGTATAATCGCAGCACTTTTTGTGACGGGTGGGTAAAAAAGTTTTTGGGTATATCGGATATCCGACCCATTTTAAAAATTCCTTCACAAAAAATTTGTTGGGTCGGGTTATATTTAACCCAACTCATACACCGGATATTCCATATTTAATAATTTAGATTTTTAAAAGATTTGATTAAGATTTATAATTATGATTCTCCTATCATCTTTGTTTGATTTGTTTTTAACTGTTTTGAATCATCATATAATACATAAAGTAAAAAAAAAAATCAATTTTTTCTCTGCATATACTGTGATTCGAAATTTTAAAAACGGACATATATTATCCAATTGACGAAAATGTGTGTTCAACGTTCTACATCGATTAAAATATTTAGACAATGATTCAGAATCATATCATAAATAAGAACATTAATAAAATAAATGAGTTTTTTGGCGGGACGGGTTTTTGAATCAACAATAATAAAAAGAAATATCATTAATTCGCCGCTTCAATACGGATTTAATCCTTATATTTTTAATACAAATCACATGACGGGTTAAGAAATTACGGAACGGGTTATATTTCGGAAATGATTTATATGGCGGACAAATTTGAATCAATATTTATATACCGCTTTAATACGGGTTAAATCCTCCGTTTATTAATAATTATCTCGTGGACTCGTGGTATACCGTTACTTAATAACAATTGTAAACTATAATATAAATAAATATGTTATAAGGAGATACAATTTACAAAATATTTTTATACTAACTTTAAAATTAAATCATCCCGCGGTGTACCGTGAGTTAAAATCTAGTATTGCTTAAAAAATTGGACAATGGTTCAGAGTCATACTATAAAAAGGACCAAAATGATTCTGAATACAAAACGAGGTTATATGGTGGGACGGGTTTGAGTCGATATTAATACGTGACGATATACCACGGGTGAAACCTAGAATTAAAAATAAAAATATAATTATATAATCTTAAATACTAAACAAACCAAACAATATTAACCAAAAAAATATAACTTAAAATTTAAAATTTTTAGTTTAAAAAAATCGACTCGCCATATACCGCGGGATAAAAATTTTTGATACAAAATAATATCAAATTATTATAATAGTCCATGATTATAAATACTTGCCAATATTAACACTATATCATTTATACACCTACAAATCTTCTAAGTACACATATTTCAACTATATTAATTATAATATAAAATAATTAAATGAGATTTTTTTATAATATCAATTTTAAAATACAATAAATTATAAATTATTATATAAAATACATAAAATATAATTTTGCCCCGCGGTGTACCGAGGGTTAAATCCTAGTCTATATAATAAAAAAAAAAAAGACTTTTTCTGCATATGCCATGATTTGAATTTTTAAAAACGAATATAAATTATTCAATCTATGAAGAAAAAATGTAACAATAAAAAATTTGGACTTGGATAATATATTTCTTTTAAACAAAAATAAATTTTAACAAAAAATTTTAACTAGGTACCGGGTCAGAATTTGAATGTGTATTCAATTTTATTCATTTCATTTTTTTTGAAACGTATAATTTTATATACTACAATAAAATTTATAATATTTTAATTTGGAATATTTAAAAATAGTTTTGCTTGATATTTTTTAAAAATATCATCAATACTGAATATGTCAAAATTTTAAAAATTATAATACTCTAATTTGTTTTTTTTAAATATATTTAAAATATCTACAATAGACGGTGGGTTAAATATAATGTATTATATGATGGAATGAGTTATGATCCTTAAAACTATATGAATATTTACATTTCATTTCATACAATTCTTTTTTGAAATTCATAATTTTATATACTACAATAAAAAATTTAAAATATTTTAATTTGGAACATTTAAAAATAATTTAATTTAATATTTTAAAGAATATCATAAATATTTAAGAAATCAAAAAGATATATTTAAAATATTTATAGCAGACACTGGGTTAAATGTAATGTATTATTTGATATAAGAGATGATCTTTATAACTAAAGATATGTTGATTATATGATGAGATGTGTTAAATAATGTTTGACACCTCTAAAAAGATGTGTTAAATAAGGTTTGACACTTCTATATATTTGAAAATTTGATTCTGCAAGCAATTTTGAAAATAACGAATGATGGATTGTGCACACAATTTTTTCATTGGGATTCTAAAATTAAAATATAGACTCCACGCACATGTTGAATTTGGTATTATTTTATACCAAAATATGTTCATAACATGTTCAGATGGTCCCTAGGAATTTATCGGTCTGGCGAGATCCTTGGATTTCATATGTTAATCCACGCCCCACAAATGGAAGGGAAAAATTATTACATCCAAATCTGATGGTTAACCATTTAATTAATCCGGTTACTAAAGAATGGTACATTCCTATTCTACAAGAATTTATGGATCTGGTGGATATTCAATTAATTCGAGGGATGACTATTAGTCAAGTACATAAGCCAGATAGGCTTATTTGGCATTATACAAATTCAGGGAGATATACAGTAAATTCAGGCTATCGGCTTGCCCGAGGGATGATTGAAGCGATTGAATGGGGCCCAAATTGTAAAACTTTACAAGCACAAACTTTTAAAAGTCAAAGCTCCTCCAAAAATAAAATACTTCTTATGGAAAATTGCTTTGGGATCCTTAGCAGTAACTTCAAAATTAGCACATCGAGGGATTCGGTGTAATATTACCTGTAAAAGGTGTGAGATGGGATGGCAGAGGAAACAATTAATCATGCTTTATTTGAGTGCTCTCATTCTCAAAAAGTCTGGGAATTATCTGAAATACCTATGGTATCAGGTAGTTTTCCTCTAAGGTCGGAATTCTCTAATCTAGACTATCTTTATTGGAGGCTACCACCTCCTATAGATGGAGGGGAGAAAACTTACTGTTATGCTTAGATTTTGTGGTTTATATGGAAATATAGGAATAGAAAGGTTTTCAAAGGAATACAATCTGAACCCACATATATTTTAAATCATGCTTTGAGTGAAAAATTAATGTGGGAAGAAGCTCAATTGGAACCGATGGAAAATAGCAATATCACGGATTTTATGGAAAGGCCAATCCAATCTATAAAATGTCGGATTGATGGCTCTTGGAAATTTTCGGATCCAACTATGGGTATAGGATGGTGGTGTTTTCAAGGAATTGATCAAACCTTGCTGCTTGGTATAAAATGCCTTCGGAGAGGCCCCTCCCCCCTTCATTCGGAGTTGGAAGCTTTAATTTGGGCTATGAAGAACATCCTTTCAAGAAGGATTGATTGTCAGGAGTTTGAAACAGATTGTTCTGAGTTAGTCTCGATGGTACAATCTCTTGAAGAATGACCAGCTTTTTCCAATCTGCTAGATGATTTGGATTTGCTCTGTGTCTCCTTTCCCCTCTTCTCGCTTTCTCTTATTTCTCGTTTATGTAATGTTAAGGCGGACTGCTTACCCCGTTCTTTTAGACTTTTATTTTCTGATGTTACTTTTGTAAACTCTTCTCCTCCTAATTGGGCAACCAATCATGGAGTTATTTTTTAATGAATGGGTGGTTGACAAAAAAAAAAAAAGATATTCAATTATGAAAATAATTGCTAAATTTCGTAATTAGCTCAAACAAATATCTATTTCAACAACCAAAGAATTACAAATTGAAAAAGAAACTTCTTAAATTAATTTAACATAATAGCTAACTTCCTTAATTAACTCAAAATAATTTACGTTTTAAATACGATTCATTTATGATATTTCGATTTTGGATCTAATTAAATTCTATGCAATCTCATTTTGTGGTTGTTAAAATAAATTAACTCATAGTTCAAACAATATTAATTTTTAAAAAATAATATTACTTTCCGTTTTCATATCTTAAAAAAAAAATATCCATAATTAAGTATCATATATATTTATATATATTCATTATAATATTATATATATGTACTTACAAAAAAATATTTTTTCACTTACGACTATAATATATCAAAAATTTATTTCAAAATATATAATATATATAATTTTTTACTAAATAAAATTCAACACGTACTGTAGTACGGGTGATGATCTAGTTCATAATTATTATATGAACTACAAAGTGTTATACATAGTAACATATGTTTACTTTCTCAACAAATAATTTTTATTGATTAAATTCCAAATGAAAATAATAATTATATATATATCAAGCAAATAAAATTGCAAATATCTCTATATCATTCTACAAAACTAAACAAATCTAAAAACTTATATTTTATTCAATATAATGTTTTTACTTTTTAGTAAATTATATAAACATGGAAAAAAAAACATAATCTCGCAGTTCCTTAATATATTTGGTAACCAAAATTAAGATTACATCTTCTGCACGTCTACACAGACGGACATGTTATTTATTCATTTGCTTACAATGTCCCACCACGAAATAAAAAAAACAAGAACCGATTATTTACTTTTGACAAGTAATTACAGTTATTTGTTCGTTTTGTTTTGTTTTACAGTCTTTTCTCATTTGGTGAAATCAAGTCAAATGACCAGAACCAAATGCAAGTAGAATGACTGAATGACACATGAAACTTTCTAATGAAAATGTAACTTCATCCTCTTGTCCGCTTGGTCATCCTTGTTCCCCAAGTTAGGGCTTCCTTTGTGTTGTGGCTGCCCAATCGTGAGTTGAAAAGGAGGACGGTGAATCAGTTACAAAAATTTATGCATCTCAAGGTATGTGGAATAGACGGTCTTTTAATTCAACATACCTCGAAATTGTAATGACCTAACGTGAGCCTTGGCATCTAGGCTTCGTCACACCGGAAATCTTCATTAACCATTGAAGCCTCCTGAGTGTAATCACGATGTGTCCAATCGTTATTCCGAAGATGACTCCAGGTGCTAAGCCTATGGCAGCTGCAGTCCAGTTCAACACTCCTTCTTCTTCTTCCTCCCCTGTTTCTGGTTGTTGTGATGGCTGCGTGTTGACACCTCCGCAGTTTTTGTCAAGGGGAGGACCACAGAGTCCAATATTTTCTTCAAAAGACGAAGCAGATTGCGTCTGGAACTGTGTGCTTTGCGGTATAGGACCTATTAGCTTGTTGTGGGAAAACTTGATGAACGATAGTGTTGTGAGGTCCCTGAGCGCAGATGGAATTTGGCCTGAAAGCTTGTTGTGAGACAAGTCTAGTGACTCAAGCTGAGTCAGGCTCGCCAAAGATGAAGGGATGTTTCCAGTGAAAGAATTTCTTGAAAGATTGAGCACAATAAGATCCTTCAGTAGACCAACAGATTCAGGGATCTTTCCGTGGAGTCTATTTCCTGAGAAATCAATGGTTGTTAAGATTGTAAAGATCCTGGTGTACTCCAACTCTACTCCTTTATTCGTCAAAACTATTGAGTCCTGGTAATATGAAATACCCCCAATGTACTTCCATTTTGGACGATCTCCCTTTGAGGACATTGCGCTCCAATAAATGAAGAAATCAGATGCTAAGGTCCCTGTGAAGTCATTGTGTGATATATCAATAATTCGCAACTGAGTAAACCAAAAATGACCTTGAAAATGATGTTGTAACGACCCATGAAACTCATTTGACCGGAGGACTAGAACTTGTAGCTTCTTCAGTAGATGCAACCAGAATGGAAAAGTGTCGTTGAGTCCATTGTGTTCCACGTTTAGAACCTCCAAAGATGAGCAACCAATCAACGATCTTGGAAGTTTCCCCACGAAATTGTTGTGACCAACATTGAGTGACCTCATATTGCTGGCATTCATGAATATATCTGGTAAGTTTCCCCCGAGGTGATTATCACCAAGGTCTAAAACTGATATAGACCTTTCCATGAGCTTCCGAAGACACTCCGGAACGGATCCATTCAAGTTGTTGTTACCAACATCTAGGATATCCAGAGAGGTCATATCACATATCGATATGGGAATCTCTCCGGAGAAATTGTTTCCTGATGCCAATAGGTCTGTGATGGGCCATCTTGGGACAAATAGTGGTCCTTGGAAATCATTTGACCTCAGATCTAGCACACTGATCTTGCTTGTAGAGATATCCTTTGTGAATCCATCGAAACCACTGAAACTGTTGTTGGAAAGATCCACAGTAATCAAATTTGGCAGACTCCACAACCAGCTTGGCACTTGACCTGTGATTCTGTTGTTCGAAAGGTATAAACCCGACAAACTGCTATTGTTTAGGTGAGATGGTGAAGACATATTTGAAAACCCCAGAGTTCCGTTGAGTTGGTTATCACTCAAATAAATAACTCTCAAAGAAGGAATGGTGAAGAGTGTAAAAGGGATATATCCAACAAAAGAATTTTGTCTTGCATCAAAGTTTTCCAAGTTAGAGAGTGAACTCATATTTGGAGGGAGTGTACTTGTGAATTGATTATAGGCAAGTGATAAACTCGACAATTTCGTAAGATTGAGTAGTTGAAGGGGAAACTCACCACTAAGCTTATTGGACTCAACAATTAAGGTGGTCAACTGCTTCAAACTACCAAAAGAAGATGGGATTTCACCAACAAAATTGTTACCAGAGAGGCTGACAAAGGTCAGACCAGAAAGGTTTCCAAGTGACGAAGGAATCAAACCACTGAAATTACAGTAGTCAAGTTTCAAGACATTCAAATGTTTGAGGTTACCGATAGAATTTGGTATATTACCCGAAAAAGATGTGGAAGAGAGGTCCAAAACTTCAAGAGAGTTATTTCCATGAAACTTTGGGAGAGGGCCTTCCATTTTGTTGTTGCCACTCAACGAAAGGGATTTTATAGTAGGAATCAAAAGAACCCTACTTGGAAAGCCACCGATCAAGTTGCAATCGTCCAAGTAGAGTGATTTTAGATAGGATAGGTTTGTGATATTTTCTGGAATTTCTGAGGAAATGTCAACGGAACCTAGGCTTAGCTCCTTGAGGGTTGTCAAATTCCGGAAAAGATTGTCAAGAAATGATTTTTCAGCTGATAAAGAATTAGAAGAAAGATCGAGAGACACCAACTTAGTTAGCTGAAGCAGCTCGACTGGAATTTTACCCGAAAAATTAGAGTGAGAAAGGTTGAGTAGTGTTAACTCCGTGAATGTAGTGTATTGAATGGAGAGGAAAGAAGATTTGAAATCATTGTAAGCAAGATTGAGAGCACGAAGATTGTGTAGCTTAAAAAGACTGCTACTTGAATTGATCTCTCCCTCAAGGGAATTTACGCCAAGGTCTAGCCCGATCACTTCCCCTGACTTGCTATCGCAAGTAATACCATCCCAAGAACAACAATCTCCTTCTTTCTTCCAATATGTTGTGCTCCACCTCAAATCTCTAAAGGGACGAAAAGACTGTTGAAACCCGTTCTTTAGCTCTAGAAGAGCATCCCTCTGGTCTTGACGGCACAAGTGTCCAGATGGAGCCCCATATGCGCCTAAAAAAGTTGAATTGAAGACGAGAAAAGAAAGGCTTAAAAGAATGATACTCACTGAGTTCCAAGAGCCCTCCATCTCTCTCTAAGGTAATTCAACGAAGAGAATTAATGCAAATATGGAAAATGGAAATCGTGACGGTAATACGGTTTCAACTTTCATGGCCATATCTTTATAAGCAGTAGGTCTGGGCACGAAGCGGATATCCGGAAAAATTAGGATATTCGTTATTCGATTCGTCTTAACCGAATATTTGATTTTGTGATTTGCTTTGATCCGAAAATTTCAGGATATTCGGAAAATCGAATATCCGGATTTTTTTATGATATTTGCGGATATCCGCTTCGATACTTCTGCACCTATTAAAACCCTAAAAAGCTAAGCGCTCGCATGTAAAACTACGAAGAATAAGATAAAATTTGGGAAAAAACAATCGTCGCACGATTCCAACTTCTTATTTTTAAGGGATAATTGATTTTTTTTTCTTCAATAAATTCCACTTCACTAATAAAAACTATTAAATTGTGTCACAATTCACAAACACAGGACAAAAAGATAAAAAACTGAGTTTACAAATACAAGCCAAAAATATATTATGATATGCATATATATTATAAAAATTTTACTAAAATATATATATATATATATATATATACTAATATATATCAAAAATACGGATCGAAGCGGATATCCGACTTTAAAAAAATCAATATTTGTTATTTGCTCCGGTTTTTACGAATACTATATTTTCGTATTTGATTTGCTCCAAAATTTTACGGATATTCGGATTTTTTGAATCGAATCAAAACGAATACCGAGTCGAAGCGGATCTAACGAATATTTTGCCCAGGCCTAAAGCAGAATAGACAGTACTCTCTATAACAAGGTAAATCCAATCAGGTTGACTCACTTATTAGTCTTTCTTCGAAGTATTCTATACGTTCACGGCAGAGAGAAAAATCTTTGGTTTAATGACTAGAAATTCCATATGTATTATCATCTTTTTCCAACTTTGACTCATTCAAACCCGTGATAATCTTCACAGGAAGTCAGGACCCATTCATTAACTATGTCTATGTGTCAATGTCTTCACCTATATTGTCTAACACAAAATGTAATTTCTTAGAAGAAACATATATAAGACAAATTTCAAAAAAAGAAAAACATATATAAGACCAAAACCATATTATGGCGAGCTAGGAGACAAAAACAAAACCATATAACTGCATAAGACATCAAGTTCTTTTTTCCCGCCAAACCAACAAAATTATGTTTTCCCGTCAAAACCGTAAAATTAGTTTCTATATGTTAAAATAATAGTTTAAAATTTATTTAGTTGTAAATATATTTTAAAGCAACAATTAAATTATTATCACTAAGATTAATATTCAAAATATAACAAATTAAAAATATTTGTATTTTAGTCATTATTTTATTAAACTCATCTAGATGGAGATCAAGATTTATAAAAACTAATCAAACAAACAAAAATTCATTCAAATGTTCCATCCAAATGAACATTCAAGAAATGAAACTAATAACATTCAGATGAAGCATTTGGATGATCAAACGAACAAGCCCCATAAATAAAACTACCTAGCTATATGTATTGGCCAGGGACCAATCTTTGAACGTACAAATAAGAATTATTAATTAAAAAAATCTATTCAAGTCATCGCTCATCCATTCTATGTTCTTAATGAAAAATTTAAAATAAAGATTTAATACTATCAAAATTCTAAATAATTATCGTTAAATTGTTATTTTTTATATTAGTTTTTCTCAAATAAAGATATAAGCTATATATTTGTAAAGAGCAAAGCGTTTTTGCAATCTTTATTTAGGTGTGGAGAGATTTGAGCAATAAATTTGTAAAGAGCAGCAAACCTTATCCGGATTATATCGATGCCATGCATTATCATCAACAACAATAGCCTCTTCCGGTGAAGCAACATTGTCACTTTGAAGCAAGGACTTGGATTGAGTTATAGGGGGTGATCGACTGTATAGACAATCTTTAGGAGTTTTCCCGAAGGTATTCACTACAAGAAAACATAGCAATTTCCGACGAACATTTCCGACGAAATATTTAGTCGGAATTATTCCGACGGATTTCCGGGGAATTTCCGACAAACTTCCAAGAAAATAATATTTCGTCGGAAACTCGTCGGAAACATAAAAACTTTCCCGACGATTAAAAATTCGTCGGAATTTCGTCGGAAATATTTGTCGGAAACCATGGAAAATTCCGACAATCCAATGTCATCGGAAACTGCTCGGAAACTTGTCGGAAAATTTGTCGGAAAAAACTAGGTAAACACGTGATTATTCACTGCACATGTTCCGACGTAATCCCGACAACTTGATCGAAAAAATTAGTCGGAAAATTTATCGGAAATTCTAAAGTTTTGTAAGAAGTTCGTCGGAAATATTAAAGGTAACCACTTTAGAATTTCCGACGAATTTCCGACAAAATGTTAGTCGGAAAAGTTTTATATATATACTAGACAACGAAAGAATCATAAACACAAGAAAATAGTTGAAAAAAAAAAAACAGACACACAAGAAAATCTTGGAAAAAAAAATGTCTTCTCATAATATTTATAAAATTAGAGAGTGGATGTATAATCGATTAGATGATGAGACCGGAGCTATGAGGCAGGAGTACAAGGAAGGTTTAATGGAATTCATGCAGTTTGCATCTAATCAAGAAATGACGCGTATCGAAGGTATTATGGCATGTCCTTGTGTCAAATGTTGTAATGATCATTTTCTTGCAAAAGACATTGTTTGGAATCATTTATATTGGGGAGGTTTTACACCAGGATATTATATATGGTTTTCTCACGGGGAGGATTTTAGATCGGGTCCTAGTAGTAGTCGTGAAAGAAGAGATGAAAACGTTATAATTAGCGATGAGCATATTCACCAGGAAGAAGATAATGTAATTGGAATTGGTAGTGGTGAATTTCATGATAACGTAGAAAATACTAATGTTGCGGAGGAACCCAACTTAGAAACACAGGGATTTTTCGATATGTTAGATGCTGCAAATCATCCGATATATGCAGGATGCAGAGAGGGTCATTCTCCTTTATCCGCCGCAACACGTATGATGAACATCAAAACAGACTACAATTTAAGTGAAGATTGCGTTGATGCGTGGGCTGATTTTATCCACGATTATCTACCGGAAGATAATTTATCGCCAGTTTCATACAACGCAATCCAAAAATTGGTATCTGGGCTAGGTTTACCATTCCAAATGATTGACGTGTGTAGAGAAAATTGTATGATTTTTTGGGGAGATAATGTAAATATGTCTCAATGTCGTTTCTGTGGTGCTGAAAGGTTTCAGGTTACTAGTGGGCGAAACAAAATACCATATAAGCGTATGTGGTATTTGCCCTTGGCTGATAGGTTGAAGAGGTTGTATCAGTCAGATCGGACAGCGGAGGGTATGCGATGGCACGCTGAACATGAATTCACCGGGGAGATTTCACATCCATCAGATGCATCGGCCTGGAAACATTTTTGTTCTACATATCCAGTCTTTGCTAATGAACCAAGGAATGTCTATCTTGGTTTATGCACGGATGGATTCAATCCATTTGGAAAGTCAGGTAGAAAATATTCTTTGTGGCCAGTAATAGTCACCCCTTACAATCTCCCACCTTCCCTTTGCATGAAAAGAGAATTTCTTTTCTTAACCATTTTGATTCCTGGTCCAAACCACCCTCGTCGTTCACTTGATGTGTTCCTACAGCCGCTTATAGAAGAGTTAAAAATGTTATGGTACCAAGGGGTTTGGGTATATGATGTCTCCACAAAGACAAATTTTAACATGCGTGCTGTATTGATGTGGACTATTAGTGACTTTCCCGCATATGGCATGTTATCGGGTTGGACAACTCATGGAAGACTGTCATGTCCATATTGTCAAGATAATACAGATGCCTTCCAACTAAGACATGGCCGGAAATCAAGTTGGTTTGATTGTCATCGTCGTTTTCTAAGACGAAATCATCCATATCGTCGTAGTAAGACGTTGTTCCGCAAGAACAAGAGTATCCGTGATCCACCGCCACCTGAGTATGATGGTGATTATATATTGAATCAATTTCGTGATTTTGATGTTGACTGTACAGCATCGGTAGGGGGTAATGGCCATGTCCGAATTGATGGATATGGAGAACATCATAATTGGCATAAAAAAAGTATCTTCTGGGAGTTACTGTACTGGACAAATCATCTACTCCGCCACTGTCTTGACGTTATGCATATTGAGAAGAATTTCTTTGACAATATAATTAACACCATTTTAAATGTCGCGGGTAAGACTAAAGATAATGTCAAATCCAGAATGGATTTACCCGATATATGTGCGCGCGAGGATCTCCATTTGCTTGCAGACGGAGTAGGTCCTATTCCTATATGGAGATTAGATGCAAGCAAGAAGACCAAGTTTTTTCAGTGGATAATTGATGATGTTAAATTTCCTGATGGCTATGCATCAAATCTATCATATTGTGTTGATGATCACAGTGGTAGATTAGCTGGGATGAAAAGTCATGACTGTCACGTCTTCATGCAGCGTTTACTACCATTTGCGTTTACACAACTCCTGCCAAATGTTGTCCATGAAGCAATTGCAGGTACAAACAACTTATCTTTCAATTATTTTAATATGTTATTATTCATGTATATATTCTTTTTTTGTTTACAGTTATTAACTAAATTGCAGGTATAGGTGCATTTTTTAAAGATTTGTGTTCAAGATCTCTAACAGTCGAAGGACTACATACACTTGAAGATAATATCCCGATTATCATTTGCAATTTGGAGAATTATTTCCCCCATCATTCTTTGATGTCATGGAGCACTTGCCTATCCATCTACCTCGTGAAGCAGCAATAGGCGGTCCAGTTCAGTACCGGTGGATGTATCCTTTTGAGCGTTTTATGTTCCATTTGAAGAAAAAAGTTAAAAATCTTAGCAAAGTTGAGGGATCAATAGTAGCTCAAAGCATAAACGAGGAGACTTCTCATTTTTCGGCCTACTATTTTGCTCCAAATGTCCAAACAAAAGCAAGAAAACCAGGTAGGTACGATGATGGGGGTGTGCGGCCT